TAGGTGACTATTCCGACCGCTCTATTGCAGTCTAAGACTCTGGGAAGAAGGCAGCATGCTCCCGTATGTGTACTTACATGGTTTGGGGTTTAGGGTTAGGGTTTGCAGGGTTTAGGGTCTAGGGTCTTGGAACTTGCATGCCGCTACTACAGCAAACACCGAACCTCGATTCTTGGAGCTGACGTCTCGAAATTAAGCCCTACGAAACCCCTGTAGTCCGCGCCCGCTTTTATGGGCGAAGATATGCCGATATCTGATTTGAATTAATTGAGGGGCCGAGCCCGAACGCAACACGGGGGCTCACTTCGAACAGGGTTTCGGCGTATGTTACTGTATACATCTGATGAGGCACCCGAAGCGCAGTCATTACCCAGGTTTCTATCTGAGCCCTAAACCCGGCCTGGATCACCCTGGCGAAGGAGTTCAGATGGCCGTTCCTGGCAGTGGACCCAGGCCCTAAAGCCGACATCCGAAGCCCGAAGCCACACACCCCATGTTACTGCCCGAACCTCAAACGCGACAGCCCCAGCCACAAAACCTTACCGAAATCGAAATGGAATGCTGCGGGGCAATCTGTAGACCCGAAGCCTGAAGCTATAACGCGAAACCCTAAACCAAAGGAAGCTCCGAAATCGTCGTCGTCGGGAGTTTTTGCCAAGAAAAAGGGGCTACATAGCAACCCTTACAGTATCCCGTGTAGAAACCCCACGAAGCCCTTAGCCCTTTCCGGGTTCGGGGCAGGGAGCTGGTTTCTCTGGAGTTTCGGGTCTAAGGCTTCGGCTGCGGGTGACGGGATAACTCGATGCCAGTCGCAAGGCTTGTATTCATGACTCGGGTAGTTAATAGAAATTCTTGCAGATGCTGACAGACCTCGTCATATCTGCAAGTTGACACCCTGGAACCCGAATCCCAAGAACCCGAAGACCCTAAAGCTCTAAACTTCACAGTTACCGCGGAGGCCTAAGCCCCGAAACCTAAACCTGATTGAGTCGGGTTTATGGCTTCAGCATGACACTGCTCATGGCTCCCAGCCGAGCGGATTTAAGGCTTCATGGGATTAAGGGTTTAACGGGTTCGGGTTTTAGCGTCTTCAGGTCTTGAATACTGATACCGGCGCTACTTGTAGGGGTAATGCCCATTCTGACCAATAGCCGGGGCTTGAGAACCAAAAATGGGAAGACAACTCATCATCCCTAGTTCGTCGTTTTGCACCGTCATAGTGCGCGATCTTAAGCCAGGAAAGGACCAGTCCACGTAGCAGCTAACCGGGGACCGGCTCCGAAAGCAAAGAAGCCGTGACGAAAATCGGCAGACAAACCAACTAGTTGCCTTCTCACCTGTGCTGTCTGGCGATGGTGCACTCGACACGATGCCAGACATGAAGCGCCGCAATGTACATACACGCGAGTGATCCCAAAGAGTATAATGTAGGGGCCTTAATAATTTGAATAGGGTTTGGGGATTCCTTACTATAACTGTAGGTGTAGGCTAATATACCCCCCAACCCTGTTCTAATTATTAAACCCCCTACATTAGTGAAAGGAAAAGAAGAAGCCTCCCTGACGTCCGAAACACCCCAGGAAGGCGCCTAGATCCTAAGTCGCAACGCACTGTCCAAACATCTACAACTGCGACCATCACAAAACCCCTACATTCCGGATCTCCAAGCATCGTGCAACCCGACGAAAGAAAAAATGGAAACTCAAAATGCCCTGAACCCCAAATATCAGTAGTATGAAATGGTAAAATAGTATAGTATAATATTGTCGAATATTATCTCTCCCATGGTCCTCTGAGCTCCCCCAGCAGGCGGGGTTGGCGGCGCGTTTCGCGGAGCCGGCTGTGCCGGGCTCGCTGGCGCCTCGCCGGGGCGGGCGGAATTTTTTGGCGCTAACAAAAAAACCTCAATGATCCTCGCTGTCCCTTAGAGTAACCTCTTTAGGACCCCTTCTTCAGAACCCTAAGAGTTCTGAAAAAGGGGTCCTAAAAAGGCTACTATAAGGGATATTGTGGAGGGGGTTTAATTTAGGGGCCTCGATAAGTGAGGTATAGGGTTTTGCCGGGGTTCAGGGTTTCGGGTTTCAGACTCTCCGGTTGTTTGAGCGGGTTCTATCAGGCTCTATAGGGGAGCTTCCGAAAATGTGGGACCTTAATATAGTACCTTGAATAGTAGGATCCTATTTATAAGGACCCCAAGATAAGGTACCCCCAGTTTTCGGAAACTCCTGGGAAGCCCCAAGATACTGCCCTAATTCTAGGAGCATGATCGGATAGTATCAAGGTTCCTGCACGATCGCTCGTGATTGAGCATATAACTGCTTGCCCTGAAACCTAATTTACCGTGGCGCTTTGGGCGGCGACTTTGGGCGAGACCGTTTATGGAAGTTCACTGGCGTGACGAGATCGGATGCATCTGAGGACTTCCGACGTACTTCGTTGCAACTGTCTTTACTTCGGATGTTTGGTCGACAGGCACCCTTAATCCCAAACCTAGACCCCAACCACAAACCACAAACCCTAAACCCTAACCCTACACCCCAAAACATAAACCAAGGCCCCTCCCTTATCTCCGACTCTTTCCCTCTGCCTGCTTGGTCTTCCCTGCGGAGCTTCCTGCACAGCGGCGCAGCTGGGTGCGTAGGGTCGTAAGCGCGCCGAGAAATCTCAAACCAAAACCCGTGAAGTCACAAACGAAAGTATTGCAGGACCCTGGGATTCCGCGAATGACCTCATGAAAAGTACTCGCCAGGGACTGGCCACTTCGGCTTGGTCCTGTAAGTTGCGCGAGGTGCTGACTGCTGCATTATGCCGAGGCCCCTCAAAACATAACCGGAAGCATGCACATCTAGGCTAGGAAACCCGGCAAGTGCAGCAACCTTCTTTTCTTCGAGGCTATTCACATCTCTCCTGCTGCTCGGGACTCATCTTCTGCGGCGTGAGCGTGAGCAGGTGTGACCAACGTCCACAGCAAGGCCTTGTGTTTGTGTGGAAATGGCCTGAATAGCCTTCATCCGGAAAGCTAACCGCTGAAGGGGATTCCCGATGCTCTGTAAGCGCGGAAAGTCATGGACGATGACTTTGAATCGGACGGCTGTGCCGTAGCGGCTGAGGCATAATTTGATGGCGTGGAGGCGCCTGTTGCCGCAAACCACGAACACCATGCCGTGGTACCGAATGGCGACGAGCGCGGGTAGGTCCTCAGGATTGAGGTTCCGGTGCAGGTCGTAGGCGAGAGAGTCGATATCTTCTCCAGGGTGCCCATGCAGGAATGTTCTACTGATGTTATGATGGCCGTAGCGAATATCATCATCACCTGCCGTGAAATACTCTAGGTAGTGCCGGAAAGCTCTCTCGGCACCCTCATCCCTGGATGGATCCAGCGGTCTACACAGATGGGAGTCCAGGGACAGCGCATCCGACACCAGCGCATCCTGAAAGCGAGTGAGGGACCTGGGCGCAGCGCCTGGAAAAGCCTCTGTGCCCGGGGCGTCGGCTTCCTGAGCGTCAGTTGATATAGGAACCTTAACAACTAGGATAGGGTTCTGGGGCCCATTATACTATAGTTATGAGAAGCAGCCCCCAAAACAGTATAGGTAATTATTAAGGCCCCTATAGAAGTGAAGCTGCAAGAAAGGACAGACGATCTGCAAGGTTGTCAGGGCTGGTCATAACTTCGTTCCCGTCATTCCAAACGACGGACCAAGCACAACCGCCAACAGCCAAGCCTTAAATTCCAACCCCGGCGACCCTGAGCCATACCCCGCTAGATACCACGTCCCAAGCCCCAAAGAGCAACTTATCAATGGCGGGCTCCCTACCAGGGATGGTCGTTATAAGTCACTCCTCCTCGCGTGACTAAACCACGGCAAGCTTCTGACACGGCCCGGTGAAGCTCCTCGGCCAACTCATGGGACTGAGCCTCCGATGCTGCCAGGAGCTCGTCGAACCTCCGGGCGGCTGGGAACGAAGGACCATGCACGTGGCTCCGATATGTGGCAGGGTGGGAATGACGGAATGACCACCCAAAGGAATCAGATAGGGTGTTGGAACTCAACGTGAAGGAATCCGCTTTGCGGGATTCTAGGGAAGCCCAACAAACCAACATAACCAACAGCAAGGAACTGTGGGGAGCGACGTCTCTGCCGGAGCCACTGTCGGAACTCCTGAGCAACACCATCCGACAGCTGCCAGGCATCGACATCGACACCAGGTTGTCCTCATGGCAAGGCTTGGCTCACCGTAAACCTGATATCCTAAACGCCTACACCCTGGATGCTGAGCTGAACCCTAAACCCTAAGTGGCGACGCAGGGTTCGGTTCGGTTGCCTGTGCACCTGTGCAGATGATGGGAGGCCAAAAGGGGGTTTAACATGCTCGGGGTAGGGATTCCTTAATATGAACCCTATTGCGGGAACCCTAATCCCTACTAAACCCCCATAGGCTAAAACCCCTTTTGGCCTCCTATGAGCAGAAGCCCCCAAGGGTCATATAGCAAAAACAATTATATAATAATCATCATCATAATCATAGTCATAATAATGATAGTAATAATAACCCCATCTCTGGGGCTGGCAGCGCTAGAGATCCCGGATCCTATTTGGCCGTCTATGCTAAGGGTTAGGGAGTTTAAGGCTTAGATGGGCTTAGAGCTGGGGCCCTAGGACTTCTGGGTCGGTAGTCTGATGGGTCTGAGTCTGATGATCCACTCAATTCCGCAAGGGCTCAGTCCCGCTCGGTATCCAAGGGTGCACTATGATCTTCGATTCGTCGGAGTTGATTCTAGGCTTTGGTTGCGCTCTGTGTTACAGATGGTATTTCTGACCAACACAAAAACCGTGTCCTGCACCAGGTTGACGAACACGAAAGGCTGGAAGGCTGTCCACCTGCCCCGAACCTCCCAACCAGCAGCCAACCGGAAGGCTAGCCGGGTATCTCCGTCTGTGCGAACTGCCTGGTGCGTGTCTCGCGAGCGCTGCAGGGACGAGAAGGTACGGATGGTTCTATACGACAATCAGAAGCTTCGGTTCCGGGTCTGTCTGATGTTTCCTTAGAACCTGTCGGTCCATTGCAAGCGCGAAGCGCACCACTCCAGAGCCGACCAGATTCTGCCTCTCTCTGTGCGCAGCTAAGATGCGGCCCCAGGGCCAAGAGGTTTCCGTAAGGTCTAACTCAACATAACCACTCTCACTCGTCTCCAGAGCCCTGCGCAGAGCAGGCTCGCAACCTCGCCGTACGTCTTCAAACGAAGAGTTGCTGATTGGCGTCAACCGCTCAACGGCCGACAACTCCAGTGGAAGTCGGTGCAAGTCATCCGTCTTACTCCATGCTTCAAGGTTCTGCCAAAATGCTTGACTTGAGAGATCGTAAAACCTTGCGACTTCATCATGAGGCAGCCAGAAACTGTTCCGGTACAGCTCTTCATGTGCACGTCGTCTTTGCACTGACCAGTGAGTTCCCATCTGTGTTGACATCTGCAGGGCAAGGCCAAGATAACCGGCTCGGCACCGGTGCTTTATCGTCACACCGACAGCAATCACCTCCTTGTCGCCGTATGCAAACAGGTCCCAGCAGTAGGACTTTGGAAAGACGTGCTTGAAGTCCTCTTTCCAGTCGTGTGCCTCCTTGGATCTGCGATAGCTGCAACAGATAGCCGCAACAATTTCATCTCAATCGGGACGGCTTTTCGAAACATGCCAACGTTCACTACGCTGTAACATGCTGTCGGGCAGTTTGGCATACTCAAGCACAGGAAGACAACAAGATCTAAGAAATCCCAGATGCTCGATGCCTTGGCTCACCAGCATCACATACTTCTTGAAACCAGCTCGTGGCCTGCGCGGGCAGTTTTTTTCGTTTGAACCTGCACAAAGGTGTGGATCCGAACCCAAGGGCCTGAAGCCTAAAAACCCTAAACCCTAGACCCCTTAAGCCCTTACCACAGCCATGGAACGCATCAGGCCTGCTGAAACAAGCTGGAACTCAAGTCCTCGCAGAGGACAATGGGCATGTCTCCGCACCACCACAGCCATGATCCTGGAGCTTCGGATGCACGGTTTAGGGTTTAGGGTCTGGGGTTCAGGGTTTAGGGTTTAGGGTTTAGTCAACCGCTACCATGATTGTTACTCTTCTTCGGTGGATGCAAACCAAGCACCTAGAAGCCAGCCCTGCGCAATACCAACATCAGGACTGCCGGTGATCTCCCCTCTCCCGACGAAGGCCGAGCTCCTCTCAGACTTAATATAGGGGCCTTAGTGATTCGAGTAGGGTTTTGGGGCATTGTACTATAAGTGTATAATAAGGAACCCCCACAATAGTGTAGGTAACGATTACGGCCCTTATATTTATAAGTCAGGCTCGGGAGCTGCGAAAGCCTGAATCTGTATGTCAATGACAGCGTGGGTTGAGCTAAATGAGATCAACTCTGCAAGCAACTTGCCTTTGGTTAGTAGGGAGTGGAAGAATATTAGTAATAGTAGTTATAGTTGTACCCCATTCCTCCATTCCCTACTAACTAAAGGCAAGGCCAGCCCGACTCCAAACGAAGGAATCGTCAACAGCCATCCTTCCGAGGTGGCCGGTGTGCTGAAGCCGTAGGATGGTCTCACATCGAAGGGAACCTGACCAAAGACAACCCAAGCATCAAATCCATGACATGTTGATAAGAAGAAATTTATTTGTATGGATGCAGAATCGGCGGGTAACATGGCATCGTCAGCGCTGGAAGTTTTGCCTAGCATCTTGGACTCGCGAACTCGGAAGCCGCGATCAACTCAAAGTCGCTCCCTGCCCTCCCCGCCGGTACTCTCGTACTGTCTGCCTGCGTCACAGCTTCACAAGCTGCCTGCTCCTCTCTGAGCTCTGGGAGGCGGCTCCTCCCGGAAGTTACCACATGACATGTCTGACATGTGTCCGCGCTCGAAATCGTGACCAGCAATCGCGCAAAGGTGGGCAGGTGAGAGGAGACTGTGGCGAGGTAGCCATGCGCGCGTGTGTGGCGAGCGGGAAGTAGTCTGAAACACAATCCCAAACATGCATCTCCATGTGTCAAGCTTTCCCTATCTCTCCCAAAGTCCCGAGATCTGTGACAATGACGTGTTCTCCTTGCGACAGCCAGTAGCACAAGCATTCAAGCCATCGGCAATGCTGATATCATCCGAAAAGCAGTGCTGCCGCTTCCTATGTAGAATGCCGGTGCTGCTCCTCGTGGCGAAACTTGGGCTGCAAACAAGAATACAAGGGCATGGCATTGTGGAGCACGAGACACAAGAGAGGACGGTGTGGGATGTTGCCACGGCGGGGTATCCAGGACTTACAGCGCCACCTGCTGTCCGACAGCTTATGGCTGCTAGCCCCAATCTCCCCTTGCCCTGCGCAGGCCGCCGAAAAGTCCTTCGATCAACACAGCCAGCTGCCAGCGCCAGACCCAAGCACATGCTGCGGTGCCGGAGCTCTCTTCTTCCGGCCAGCCTCGAGTTGGGAAGGTTGAAGGGCGAGCTCCGCCCCATGATCTAGCAAGTCCACTGCAAGCTGCAGATCCGAAGGCACCATCCTGCTCTCTCAGTCAGGTAACAAGCTTTGTACTTCACGGCTTTGCATCCCCTTGCCTCCCGAAATGCCCCAAACCTGAAAACCTGAGCCAAACGCCCTAGTAATCCTCATGGTCTTCTGGCGTTCCCTAGGGCAACCCAGACTTCGTAAAGAACTCTTCAAGCCGAACCCAGAAGCACAAGAAACACAATCGTGTCCACACCCTGCAGTCCTAAACCTCCCCCACTCATCCCAAGCTTCCTCGGCTGTCCTATGGATCTAAGTACTATGGACTTTGCTATCCTTTGCTATCGCTTGAGGGGGTAAACCCCAACTTGCAAGAAGTTTGACTTGGAGAGGGCGGGGAAAAATCAGTAATCCCTAGTGGCATCGGGCCGCTGATGATTCTTCCTTCCTGCTGAGCCCAGATTCGTCTGTCCTCAAACCTAGGAGAAGCGTGGGGGCAATGTCCCGGCATAGTTTTGCATCCCAGATGGCTACCAACCAGGCACCGGAACAGCAGCATGCTGAGAAAAGAGATAGAGAGAGCTCTGTGTGTGGGGCTCCTTGATGCCAGACTGTGCACAACTCGGGTTCTGCTCAGTGTGCTCTTTTGAAACACAATTCGCGGGGCACAACTCGCAGGCTTCGTTTGGTAGGTTGCTGAAATTTTCTGGGCCCCGGTACAAACCCTAGAGCCCTAAACCCTAAACCACTGATGTTGTCCAAGCGGCCCAAGGCTTCGCAATCGGAGGACATGGCCAGATCGGTGTGGATCAAGATAATCATGTTCACCTTCCACGGTTCACTGCCCTTCACGTTGGTTTTGCACTAAAGGACACCGCTGTTCCTCAGTTCACCTGTGGAAATGAATCTGCAGGGATTGATCTGTGCATCGCGGGGGCTGACATTCAAGGATCTTCGGCGAAATGACACACTTCTCTCCCGGGCCATACTACCCCACGCCAAGCTGCCATGCTCTCCCTTCCTAAATCTCTACCACCGGTGCTCTTCTGGCAATCCCCGGCTCAAGAGTCGCACCCAAACAAAGCACCCCCACTCCCCCGGCTCGCCGTATTCGGCAAGACCATGCCAATCAACCAGAACAGGATGCAGCCGTGTGAGGAAGATCTCCAAGCCAATTTGGTCCTCAGGGGTATGGACTGACGGTTTATGGGTTGATGGTTTGGGGTTCGGGTTTTGGGCTGAGTCCGGGGTTGAGGCTTGAAGTTTGAGGGTGGGGGGATGAAGGGCGTTGCCGCTCCAACATTGAGGAGGCACACCATTGCACTCAATGAAAAGTCCTCGAAAGGCCACTCCTTAATGAAGTTCGCAGTGCTGGAAGACACACCTAGCACTTGCTGCGCCAGGGCCTTGTAATGCGAAAAGCGCTGGCCGTCCTGGACAGGGGGCGGGAGGTGGGTTCCGGGCAAGACAATCCAAGAAGAGTATTGCGAGACCCGGGAGAGAAATCTACTGGCCTTAATAATTAGAATAGGCTTTTGGAGCCCATTATACTGTACTTAATAGGGAACCCCCGAAATGATAAAGGTAATTATTATTAAGGCTCCTAAAGTACCTTCAAAAACCGCAGACTCGGCCTGCTCCGCCAGGACAACAACCACCAGATCTCCATTGGAAAGCTCGGCCCGAAAGACGCGCGGCAAAGTCATCCGCGCGGGAGCATCTAGGTCAGGCCTCCTGTCTCTCTCTCTCTCTCTCTCTCGCTCGCTCTCTCTTTCTCACCTCCCTCTTCCACAAACGCAAGCAGTACTGTTGCCGGCTTGAGCTGTGGACTGCGGCAGTATGAGCCTATGTTTCGGTCTGCCCAGCAGTAGAATGACAACGGGTTGCTATTCCGGGGTCTCCTTGTATGAGGGCGATCCTCGTGTGGGCAGATGGCGGTTGCCCGCCTGTATTTCCGGTCCAAGCGGGTCAGTTTTCATGTATCCACGGCCTTTACATGCTCGCTAAACTCGAAGGATTCGATGGGCCCCCGACATTTCTGCTCTGGCTGCTTGACCATGAGTGTTTAGGACAGCCTCTCGCTTCGCCACCATCTACCACCTGACCTACGGCGCTACCTGAGCCTTACGATGCTCTCTGAACATTTAAACCTAAGCCCAATGCCAGAACGGCTTTTTTCGTCCGGAGTACCACCTACCATGTACAGGGACAACAGCGATCAGCGATCAGGAACATACAGCACATCTCCGAACCCTGAGCCAAACCGGAGCTTCAAGCCCCAAACCTGACCGGCTGAGGGTTCAGGGGTTAAGGGTCAAGGGTTTAGGCATTGGTACCCCGAACCCAGGAGTGTTAGGATTAGGCGGCACCCTTGGGGATGTAGACCCTCTCAATACCGTCCCTTTTAAGAGAGCCAAAAGTAAGGTTAAGAAGGGTCCTGGCTTCTGCCCGATGTGTGAAACCGAATGAGCTCTGAACCCTGCAGCGGAGGGTTTAGGGTTCAGGGTTTAGGCTTTCGGGTCTAGGGTGTAAAACCCTAGAGTGAAATCCAAAAACACCCAACCTTAAACCCTGGCCTAGACCCAAAACCCATAACCCGAAGCCCTTAATCCAAACCTTCAACCCACCCCGAAACGGCTGAAGGCCGCAGCCATCAACCAACAACCCGACAGCCCTTAGCCCCAAACCAAACGCCACAATCCCTAGAGCAAGAATCATGAACCAACCCTAAATACCGAACCCTAAAGCCCGAACCCTAAACACCGAAACCTAAAGCCCGAACCCGAAGCCCTGGACTGGATCCTTAGTGTGTAGGGCTTGAGGATAAGGGGCTAAGGGTTCGGGGTAGCATGGCCTCTGTCGAATGGAGGCCCCAATATTTTCCCGCTAAGTTCGAGACGCTGCAACCCTTTGCAAGCTGCAATGCAGACCCCAGAGCAATATACCCTCTCCTACGATTAGGGCCCTTTGAAGAAAG